AATAGGTAATATAGAAAAGTTACACGTGTAGCCAATTGTACACTCTTCTGTAGTAGTTCATTGAACCACAATACCGATAAGTAATTAATAAAAGTCAAAAAACCAAAGAAATCACCTTAAAAAAAAAAAAAAAAAAAAAAATAGTGCTAGAAAGGGTTATAAAGATGAAGTAAATGCTGAATATAGCAGAATTCATGAAAAAGTTGTAATGTTGAAGACAGCTCATGACAATGTAGAGTTCAGTAAACAAGAAGAAGATAAGATAACAACTATAAAAAGGTGTAATATAATAAGAAATATGAAAAGAGTTAGTAATAATGAAACATGGATTAAAAATATAAAAGAAACATCTACCAATATAAATAAGATAAATAATTTGACCAAAGTGCTTGTTAATAAAGGGAATTTAAAGAATGCATATAAAATCTGAATAAGTATTGTAAATATGTTTAGAAATCTGGTTGATATAAATTCTACCAAAAGCAGTAATTTGAATAAACAAAACAATCTTAAATAGTACTACTGAAATGGTCTATATATCTCTAGAGATAAGAAAACAGCATTTGAGTAGGATTTGAAACCCATAAGAAATAAACATCTCTGTAAAGAGAGCCTTGAAAAAGCCTATGAAGCTTGGAATAAGAAAGTGCAAATATTGAAGAACATTAATATTAGGTATAAAGTCCAACTAATGAAATACCATAATGAGGCAAATGACAAAGGGATTCGAGTTAAAAAAAATAAACATAAGATATTCAAATACTCTCAGCAAGCCAAAGATACAAAAAATATTGAAGGAACATCTAATGTTGGCTATTACTATAACAAGAGAGTTGGAGTTGAAGAAGCTAAACATATGGAATTCGAATATTCTCAGAAAATTACCAAATTAGAAGATGCTAATGAAATATATGATGTTGGTCATTGTTATAATAATGAAATCAGTGTCTTGAAAGAAGACTATAAAGCATTAGAATGCTATCAAAAAACTGCCAATATGGGTTATAATGATGCTATATATAAATAAGACTGATCAGAATTTTCAAAGTTATGATAGATAGATCCCATATAAAGACTTTGAAAATATAGAAGAAATTGGCAAAAACTTACATAGCAGAAACATTTCACATAAGGATGCAATTTACAGAATTATATCTTATGTCACATCAAAAGTTCTACATAATAAAAAATTTACACAGATAGCTGACATTTATGAGTTCGAAGTTATTATGTTAAAAATATCAGCTGGGCAAAGAGCTTTTGATAATAGACTGTTTAATATTAGTCTTGTAATAGATATTTGCCAAGTTAAACACCTGAAAATCGATCATAGTATACCAAAATATTATGCAAGATTAGCAAAACTATGTACAGATCCTGGCTTACAAAAGAGACCTATTTTCTATAATATTTATTACTTATTTAGTAAATGGAGTAGAAGTATAGAAAAGTTTAATAATTCAAATAGGGCTAAGAAGCAATTCTTAGAAGCTGATAAAATCATACTAAACCTCAACAAGAATAACCACTCAGTTCATATGTGTACAAGCAAATTAATTAATTGTGAAAACCTTTATGAAGCCTGTGATAAATAGAAAAAAAAGATGAATAAGTTTAAAGCATAAATGAAAGAAGCAAAAAGGACAGCAAAGCATAGTAAAACTTACCTAAAACTATATAATCAAGAACTAGAAAACAGGGGGTTGGGCCCTATAGCTTAACGGTAAAGCTGCTAACCCCCCACAGACTAGGTCAACGGTTCAAGTCGGGCTGGAG